TACTTATAAATTTGTTCAATTGTCACGTGAAAATATATATATACATACGACACTATCGAATGATAAATTGACATTTCAATACCGTACATATACACAATATGAAACACATAATATTTACATCTCTTTCGAATAACACGGATAGCAATGCCATTCCAGGGTGTCCCTCGTTCCCGATTGCCTATTATTACGGCGCCCATCGACGAGTATACCTCGAATACCAGCACGCCTACCTGTACGCGGGATTAATTATTGATCGAGCGCCGTAGCTTCGATTGATCGTTAATTCGGGGACGCGTAATTAATTAATGCGTCGTGTCGGATGCATCGGACGCTTACAACATCCTGCGAACAGAGATATCGCGATGTTTCAATGAAAAGCTCGCGGTGAATCCTTACGGATATGCGACCGGCCACCAATTAATCCGTTCGTCGAATTCGCGATGGAAATCGGACGCGCCATTATTGACCGTGGCTATCTTCGTCGTCCCTTGGTGAATTAAATTTATTTAGAAACTTGTTCTTTCTTTTAATTTTATTAAACTTTTTTTTTGCAAGATAAATTTAATAATTTAAGAATCAATTTTATTTATGTATAGTAGTAGTCTATGGGGAATATTATTCGTATCAAATTTTTAGGTAAATTCGAAACGAAGAATTTCTTATGAATTTCTTAGCTTGATGACTTAAATTTATTTAGAAATTTGTTCTTTTGATTTATTAAATTTTCTTTTTTTTTTTTGTAAGATAAATTTAGTAATTTATAGTACAATCTTTATTCCATTTCTGTAGCAGTATTCTATGGGGAATATTATTCATATTCCCCATAGAATATTATTCAAATTTATTATTCAAATTTTTAGGTAAATTCGAAACGAAGAATTTCTTATGAATTTCTTATTCATTAAGCTTGATGAATTAAATTTATTTAGTAACTTCTTTCTTCTGATTTTATTAAATTATAAAATTTTTAGTAAATTCAAAATTTCTTATGAATATCTTATTCATTAAACTTTATTAATACTGTCCAAAATTAGTGAACAACAGGAGTACGACAAAGTAAAATTGGAATATAATTTCAATAAAAACGATTCTTTGTTTAAAAGATAAAAAATAATTTAAAACAACACTTAAACGTGTTAATTGAGACACGATATATGAGACTTTTTGTATCATTCATCGAGATATTTTAAGAAGGAATATCTGTGCAACAACATCAGAAGATAGGATGAGAGGAATGAAGCCATCTCGAGAAACGAGAGAGGTTAAAACAGTGAAAAGAAGAATTCTCTTCTTGGGTTAAGGGCAAACAAAGAGTCATCCATGTGGAAGATAATATTCGAGCGCGTGAAGTCGAGGGCGGTTGCACAATGGGCAGAATTCCTGGGGAAACTAGTCTTATTATCTATGGAAATACGCTATTTCTTCGCTTTATATTCCATTAAAACGGTTGATCGTTCTTGTTCGAGAAAGTGTGGAAACGGAATGATCCATTGTAGGAGGAGAGAAAGCGTGTCTCTTTCCTTCGAGATTCGTGTTTCCGCGTGAAAACGAACGGAATGGAGAGATTATATCGTGAAAAATGTGCGATTTATGCGAGTTTGGTAAATTTTGAGTTTAAAGGCGAAGATTGAAAAAATTATAAGAATTAATTTTACAGATATTTCGATGCGGAGAACGTGGAACGATTAAAATTTGACTCGTGAGGATACGGAATTGAAAATATCGATGAATCGAAATATATCGATTTATAATCTTCAGAGAAGATTAATTTAACCATTCATTATTCAATTTTTATAGAATTTCTGTTCAATACTTGCTTGTACATTCAAGTCTTGATTATTCTTTATCGATAGCGAAAGTTTAATCAAATGCGTAATCAATTCTAATGGAGATCTTAGAATTAATGAATGATCGATAATGGCTATTCAGAGCACGTTTTCACCACGATTAGACAAGCCTGCACCTCGATTTTAAAAAAAGAAATCGCAATTAAATTGATAATTAAATTGAAATCTTGATGAATTAAAAATTTGACCGAATATAGATTTATTTCTAACGAAATAAACATATATCCACTGAATCGAAATAAAATATAAAAAAACTTTTATCAATGAGAAATTTAAATAGAGTGTATTGAATATATGTGAAACGTGGAGCTGTGAAATGTTCGAAACTTACTTTCGAGCCCACTAAGAAATAGGGAAGGGCGCCACCAGTCGGGTAGAGCCCGCCGGCAAGAGGGCCCCGTTCCCTCGTAACCTCGAGGGTTTTTTTGACGCCAGGTACGGCGTGGGTGGGCCCAAAGCGGTAGGCTGGACCAGCCAGCCTTGTATCCGCGTCACGATTCGGTTTTTGTAACGAAATAGCCCCGGATTCCGCTTCTAACTCGCTAATCCGATCCCTCTCGAATCACCTTCCTCGATTTTCATTTTTCTCACTTTGTTTCTTTCTTTTTTTTTTTTCTCTTTTTCTTTTTCCGATACGTTTCTCTATATTTTCTCTATATTCTTCCATTATTATTTTACTATTATACGATACAAAAATAACGGAAATATTGAGGAGAATACAAAGGATCTCTAGTAGAAATGCTCGCCCAACCTGTTTGGGGATTAAGATATAAGTCTCTTATTTTCTATCCTTAATAAAAAAAACTTACATTAACAGTTGTTTTTCGTCTTTCTATATTTAACACTCATTTACTTACTCACGAAATGAGTAAATGACGAAGCTACGAATTTTCCTCGGACGATCGTTCGTTGCGAAAAATAAATTTCGAAGAAATAGATCCACCCCTTACTCACTGAATTTCGTCACGTATTATAATAATCTCAAAATTCCAACTACAATACAGCAGAAATAGTTGGCAGAATAATGGCTCGGCGGAGGCGTTCACCCGACTTAATTCGCGGCTTCAATTATGCAATATCGCAAAACATATTCGAAACAATACACCTGGTGGCTGGTTTTCGAGCTGCTGCGCAAGACATCTCGTTTAGCGCGTGCCGCGAGCCTTGACACGATAATTGCGTCATGACATGTTGGTAATTGCCCGGCTTTGATTCGCCACTGCGTAAAGAACGTCGATTTTTGCGATCGGCTAACGAACGCGCGCCTTTTGCGGCATGCTTGATTCATTTAACGAGCGGTACCCTCGTTAAACGAGAATTATATTTTATTTTTTCCGTCTGTCCCGCGGCGGGAAAGGGGTGGAGAAGAGGGGAGGCGAGAAAATGAAGACCATGGAAAAAATTCCAAGTTGGAGGTTAAATTAAAAGGAACGCGTTTTTAGAATTTTTTTCGAGTTGGAGCTGTGAAAATTTTTAATTGGAAATTTATTCGATTTCGTACAGGTGATTATGCTCAAAACTCTTGCGCTTTGTTTTGGATCGTTGATTGATAATTAATACTATATTTGTGTTAGATTTCGATGAAGGAGGGATTGGAAAGGATAATGAAAAATCGATATTTTGGAAAGAATTTGAAGTTTCGATTCTTTTTTAGAATTTTTTAGAATTTTAGAGTTGGAGCTGTGAAAATTTTTAATTGAAAATTTAATCGATTTTGTACAAGTGATTATTATTGATTGATAATTAATATTATATGTTTCGATGAGGGGGAAGGATTGGAAAGAAGAATGGAAGATCGACAAAATTAAAAGAGTTTTAAGTTGAAGTTTCGATTCTTTTTTTTTAGAGTTGGAGCTGTGAAAATTTTTAATTGACAATTCATTCGATTTTATTATACAATTGTATAGATTTCTTCGTTTCGGAGTGACAGATGATATAATAAATATTTGCCAATATTTTTAATCAGACAAAGAACTCTTTGTGAAATTTTCACAATAAGGCGGAGAGATCGAGTAAATTTTGAATCGAAATATCCAACGCAGTTAATTTTCAAATTCGAACATTTTCTGTTAATCAATAGCAAAATCTATCGTATAAATCGTGGCAGTCAGACAAAATATCAGACAGATATCGTGGAAATCTAATTCAAACCGCAATCGACTACCTCCACCGACCATATTTGCGTTCATTATCCACGCGACTGGACCAATTAGCCGAAACGTCCAAAAGTCGAATTTGCTCATCCAAATATTAGGATGGAATCGTTAAACGATACGTGGATGTTTCGTGGATTAATTAAAACACTCGTCGTGTTTGCGTAAGCGGACTCGTGACGCTCGCGTTAAATCAACATAGGTGTCGACCCGATTATACAATCCGTCTCGTAACAAGCCAAGCAATTGCAATGCTTTCAGATCGTTGCGAATTACGTGTCCATTCCATTCGTTTCGATGGAATCGTTCCATCTTTCTTTCTCCACTCGTCGACAAAAGGAAAATGTTCGATGCCGAATCTTTCGAAAAAGTTACAATTTTTCACGCGTGCGAAGAGCGTGTAACATTCTGGTTGAATTTCATTTACGAATGAACGGGCTTTCAACGACGTTCGATTCCAACGATTTCCATTTGTTTATTGGTTCTTGCGCGATCACAAGTTTTTGATCATTCAATGTGAAATAATGGAAGAAATTTCGTTTAATGGATTGGAAAATTGCAATGGACCGTTTAATTGTCAAAGTTATACGTATGTTTACAATACAATTCGAACAACAAACGGGGATGTTTTTGCGCCCCTGCACGCGAAGGGTCTTCATGTGTACATATGTTCCACGGTAAATACAAACGTCGAGGATTAATAGTAAGCTGAACACGGGCCAATTCCCATAATAGGCTTCATTCTCTTCTCTACCTGTTCCTAATACAAATTCCTAAACAAATAGATGCAAGAAATTGTGACAAACATTTAAACGTCTTCGAGAACGCAAATACCATAAATCATTCCACGCTTTGATCCGATAGTCATCCTCCATTAAATCGCATCGAACTCGTCCTAAAATCTCCTCCTCTTTCTCCTTAAAAAAAAAAAGAAAAAAAATAAAGAAAAAAGAAAAAGAAGAAAATCGACGCAGTACTCATCAAGACTCCTCTAATCCAGGTGCCCCCTAAGAGCCACGCGCTCGATACACCAAGCTCGAGCCGTGCATCAATCGCGGCGCCACGATTGAGAAAAAGAGAGAAAAAAGAGTGAGAGAGAAAGAGAGAAAGAGAAAGAGCATCGATCCAACTCTCGATCCAATCGGTCGCGGTTCTCGCCGAGAGGACTTTCACTCGGCGTCCGTTGATCGGCCGCGGCGAACGAGCGGGCGAAGCGGAAGGCAAGAGAGAAGAGGCGCGAGGTGAAACTCCGTCCCTCTCCGCCTCTGGTCCCGGGTTGACTGACCTCGATAGCGAAGGAAAGGAGGTGGCGGTGATCCGCGGGAAGCGAAGAAGG